CCCCCCCCCCTTCCCCAATCTCCCCAATTCCTGAATCCCTAACGATCCTCAAACTCCTAATCCCCAAAAGGCCGGTAATGCACTTGTAACGCCTCTGGTATTCCAGGTGTCCTTGGGCGACGCCAATTGCTTACCATCAGGTGATCCGTCTGCTCGTTTAACGGCTTATGCCATAAAAAGAAATTTGGGATGTCGCTATTTCGTACGGCTCCTCATTCGGTCCGACATTAATTTATCGATAAATCTATGAAAATATGGAATTTCTGCATGCATAATAAAATTATAAGGCCTCAATAAACTGATACGCATAAAGTAAATACGTTCCTAATTGACTCGAGTGATTACCGCAAAAATCGAGATTGGTTATTTCACTGAATTATGTTTTTTTCGCATTCATATTCACGCAAATGCTACTCTTTTTAGATTTTGTGATACTCTCGTAGTTTTGACTGAAGATGAATGATAAATTATTGAATTAAATGAGTCGTGTTTCAAGACTTTTGCGCGATAAATAAACGTATGAACGTAAAAACGAAAATGGTCGGAGAGTCCAGGAGGCCGGTCGGTAACCGGTGCGTTAGTAATTAAAAGTGTTCGGATAACCTAATAATTTGCAGAAATGTAGATTCCTATCTACTATCCCTTGAATCGACGGTCGACGATAAACTATATCGAGTCGACGGTTCGCGACTAAATTAAGAACAACATCTTATTTATAAAAAAAGAAGTCACTCAAAAAAGAAAATATCGCAATGCTCCTTGAAATGAAATTCACAAAGGGACAATAGTAAGAACTAATACTTAGTTTCTCTTCCTATTAAGATCATCCAAACGGACAATTGGGTTAGAAATCTATGTATGGTGGTATTAATACTAAAGACCGCCATCTGGTACATTATCATCTTGGTCATTATTATCAGCCCGTTTCCATCCACTGCATGTCGGAAATAGGCATTTGCCAGAAGCACGCCCGTAAACTCGATCTCCAATACATACGTTTACTGAAAAAGAAAAGTAATCTATACAACTTAAAGATTAAATTTTTCTAGAACCAGTCTTACTGACATTATTATCATTGGGAGCTAGAACATTGCCAGTTTACAAAGAGCTCATAAAAGCGGATAATTAAAAAGTCACCGTCAGGTCTCGAACTCATTCCATTACTATAGCTGACATTTAATTGAACGCGGTTTAAGAAGTAGGATAAAGATTATTCTGGCCAGGGTTACTTAGCAAGTCGCGATAATCTGACATTGAACTTTGTTAAATAGTTAAAAGTTTAAAACCTGAGCTTTTAATGGAAGAAAAATGTGCTGAAATAATTTAAAGTGCAAGTCTAGACTACTATTTGCCTTGGCAGTGGCGGAATCACTGGCTTGTCTTACAAAGCTTAAGATGTTTTAAATACACTTAGATTAGTGCTGCGTTTAGCACGTAGTTTGAAAACCTATATTAGAATTGCTCGTAGTAGAAGGACTGGTCAAAACCGAAGTAGACAGAGGTCCACACAAAACGTAACATTCCGTTTTCGCCAGTTATAAGTACAGTGTAATATATGTATCATAATAACTAAATTAACATTTTTCTTGCAGGACTTCAAGTTCCCCTTGACGGTGGTAATGTACCACCTCATCGTGAAATGGGTTTTATCAGTCTGCGTGAGGGTGGTGCTCCAGCTCATCACAGGCACTCCTCAACTAATACTGCCATGTATAACATGCCTTAAGTCCGTCGGCCCCACTGGCTTGGCCAGCGGCATTGATGTGGGATTCTCCAACTGGGGACTGGAGTTAGTTACGATCTCCCTCTACACGATGACGAAGTCCACGACTATCATCTTCATATTGTTCTTTGCTATTGTGCTGGGACTTGAGAAAAAGGTAAGTCTTTTAGTTTTAGCTCTTGCCATAAAATGTGTCTTTTCTCCCTAGGAAATTACGGTGATCGCGTGGTAATGGTGGCATGGGCGGATAAAGTACCTATAATAGGAATATTTCGGTTTTTGAGACTTCTCCCTTTGCTTGGAGTACGGCAATAAAAAAATGAGGGTCATAACAATATGGATGGAAAATGGTCATTATTTCAGCACCTCCGCTTACCACCTTTACACATAACCAGTATTGCGACTCATTACAATGCATTTTTGTTGAAGGATGAAAACATAAAACCTTCACCTAATTTCCATACAACAAATGGACACAGTTGTACCGCTAACGAAGCTCAAAATATCCGTATTTATCAGCGTGGAGCGCGGACGCGGTTCGCTCTAGCATCAAAATTGCATTAGCATATATTCCACCATAACCTGATTGCTATTTGTTCATGCAAGCTTTTAGTCCTGTATTACGAAACCTTAATCTAAATTGAGGGTCCTTGGACTAGTTCTCAACCAATTAATCGGTCTCAAACTAATTTTAAGTAGCGTCTGAGACTTTGTAGGTAGGGGTTAAAGCTACCCTTTTATCCTATGTATTCCGGCTTGCGGTTTTACTTGCGTGCTCAGTATAATGTACGTGATGACCTTCAAGAATAAAACATAGAACTAGTGATATGTATGCAAATATAACAATAAGAGCCAGAGAAATAGATGCCAAGTTACGCTAATATGTCGTTCAATAGATATTCAACTTTATTATGCAGAAGGTGAAAATATTTGCACATTAAAAAAAGAATACGCAAACGAAACTTATTCACTCAAAGAATCTCACTATACATACTCAATATTGTTGACTTTTTCGTAAAAAACTACTTCGCATATAATTTGTAGCGTTTCTGTATAAACAGATCATTAGTCTAATTGATACATCGATTGCTTTAATACCCCTTTGATGATTAAAGTTCAAGTCTATAAAAAAACCTTTCATAAAGTCCCTGCAGTCCCATAATGTCCCGCAAGTCGATTTTATACTTAAAAGCAGTTCAATATCTTTATGTCACGGCAATGTCGTTTCATCTTATCAACTGTAGAATTTAAACAGTTTGACAAATTCGCTATTGGCTATTTTCAGTTGCAATTCAATTCTATCGGGCATTTTAGGTCGAGTCGAGACTGCCTTTACGACCTCTGTGACGTGCAAACGCAAAGTCGCCGTGTGAGTGAAATAAACCACATCACTGGACTTATTTCACCTCGCTTGAGGATATTTTCATTGCATTGTAGCTATGCGTTATCTCAAGAATTACTTTTGTTTCATGCACATTTTACTGTTTGTTTATATTTGAAATAATTGATTCATCGAGTACATGGAATACTTAAGATTTTGTCAGAGATTATGTAAAATATCTTCTGGCTTTACTGAAAATTGCTCCTTGCAGGCTAATTAGTAAGTACCGTACGTACTCCTTCCAATATTTGTTGCAAAGTACAAAGTACCTCAAGTACGTACGCTTCAGTAAGCCGTACGAAGAAAATTCTTTAACGAATGAGAATTCAATTTCATCCCAGGCAATGTGTAAACATTGAGCAAAAACACCGAGCAAAAAAATGAACTGCAATTTATATTACGAAGCGAGATATACAGGGCATCCACTAAATAGTGCACCACACTGTAAGGGTTCATAGTTAGGATTTAGGATCAATACCTACCTGAACAACCCAATGTATGTTCAGTGAAAGTGTACGATTTAAAAGTAATACCACATTTTTGAAAATAACAAGAAGTCACTACCTTGACACTTGACACACATCTTTTAGCATATCTCACTGGAAAAAAAATTTGTAGAAGTTTGGTCATCATTTCATTTTTTGATGGATAAATTTTGATTTTGCTTATTCGTTGACTTATGTATAGCTATAACGTATTGACTACAATAATCCATTAATTACCTTCTTATTGACATCAATTTATTATAGTTTATTAAGCATTAAGTAGTCTTCCTCATCTGACTTTTTGACGAACACTATTGATATGTAATTTATTAAAACACGACAAATTTATATTTACTTATCTAACTAATTAATGGACTTACTGATTTAAACTCTTATACGAGTATTTGTATGCCTAAAATAGACTGACCATAGCGCACTTTAATCTAAAAATGACCAACCAAATGTACCTATGTATCACAAATAAAGGTTTCATTTCATTTCACCAAATTATTCGTGGATAAATTACTCTATTCATTGGTACGTCATTTTTAAATCAGGAATATGGGTGTTTTTAGGACAAATTACTTCTTCTGTCAACAACTTGACGCTCAACTTTAACTTACAGTGGCAGTTTTGTACTATTGATCCCAGCTATCACTCTTACAGTATGGTGCCTGGTGTTTACTGGACACCCTATATGACAAAATGTTTCAGATGTTGCAGTACATTTTCTTTATTTTAAACCATTTTCATTAGTGGATGCACATCAGAACGACACAAGCGCTAGTTAGTTGACCCGTAAAGCCATTAATTAATTTGCTACGAATTTCCACGGCACTAGTCTACTGTCCAAATATCGTCGGATAACATTCGACGGACGTTGCTGGTTTTGGCCTATGGAATAATGCCGAATTTCATGCATATCGGTAAACTAACATTGAACGTACATACATCAACAACAGTCTCAAACATCATTCGCATTTTCTCTTTCGAAAATTGAATGTACCATCCAATCAGTGCAGCAAATAATATAACTAGACATGTCTTGCTTGCTTTGTTCACAGTCAGACCATTTATTTTTTGTCATCTTGATATTAAAGAGCCCATTAACGCATTGAACCGAGGATTAAATTCACCTAACTCATTCAGCTCTCTATCAACGAGACAGGGTAATGAATGAATTTTGTTGAAAATATAATAGTAATTTCTGCCACGTTCTATCAGTTTTACAAAAGGGTTGATTTAACTTGCAATGTCGGAATTTAAATCCGTGGAATCTTGAAGATTAATTTTGAAGAATATACATACATAAATATCTATTATCAACCGACTGATTTGAATTTTCTACAGGGTGTTTAGCGCATTGACCGAAACAATTTGTTCAGGTGTTTGAGTGATCATTTGAATAAAAAAAAATATGTGTGATATTTGGGACGAAGGGTTTTTGGGTAAAAAATAGCTAATGACCTCTCAAATTTGGATGATATGCCAGGCGCTAATTTTTGCTTCAAGAAGTTTTGTCATAATCGTACGTGAGCGTCAGCTACGGTACCAATGGTGGGTTGAGTAGTGACAACTACACCAAACATCTAACAAAGTATACTACCTCTATTTTTAGACGTTTACTCCTGATTGGAAACTAATCTACTTAATAGTTAGCATAATCTTTTGAAGAAAGGGAATCATCAGCTGGTTAGGAAGTGGAGTATACGTCAGATGAGTGCACATTTTTTTTTATATCTGTCAAAGTATAATCCATCAATTTTGACGATATTTATCAATATGTTATGATAACTGTAAATTAACTGTATATAGTTATAATAGTTACTGGTCGGGAGGTGTCGACAGAAAAAGCGCTGCCTCCTCACAGCCCAGCCGTAGCGAAGGACACTCTGGGCGTCGGGATTGCGGAAAGCATGGGTAGCTCTCCGCTCGACCAGAACCAGACTCAAAGACTCAGAGTCTGGTTCGGATGGGGCCCAATAGGGCTGATGTCGACTTGAAGCCGCGGAGAATTTAACGGGTTACTGGGCCCCCGCGCCCGGCTCGAAGGGCGTAGGAACGGGGTGGTTTTTAGTCAGTAAGAGTCTGACACTCCCTCCCGCCTCACTCAGGCGGGAGAAGGCATTCGATAATTTTCTCCCCTTTAAAAATAAGCCAATCAAGCGATATGTTTTTTTATTTGAGTAGTTGCCGGTTAATGGTTCAATAAAAAAGCTTATGTAAAAAGTTCCCAATAAGCTTTAATTTATTTCTTGAAATCGTTAATAAATACTTATCACAAAATATTTCTGACAAGTAAATGAAGAAATATGCGTTGTGTACGGTCACCATAAACAACATAATATGAATAATATAGCACTATTTTCACATCTTTGAACTGATTTAACTCGGTTCGGACGGACTGTGTTTTTGATATAAGACCCCATATATTTGTGTGTTATGTTATTCTGCATCAGTTTTTTTCCACATCCGATCGACTGCCGCGAAAAAGTAAAAAGGCACCACGCTCCATACAAATTTGGTCATTGTTATTTCGTCGGTCCATGCGCCAAACACTCTGTATATTCCCGAGTTTGAATGATAATACATGCTTAGTGACGTGATTTTAAATTCAACATGGCGCGGAACTTCTGAAACGGTGGAGTAGTATACGTATTTTTACCTATACAATACCTATACACCATGAAATCTATTTCGTTTTCGTCCCGAAGTAAATTGGTTCTGTCTTGGTAACACAATAGTTTTATACAAGATATAAAATGTATAAAAAAAAAATAACTGGTCAACCTTAGCAAAAGGCAAACTTCGAAAGCGCATACGAACTTCATAGGACATAATCAAAACATCACGCCACGTAATTCTCGAGGAGGTGTTTCTCGTCGGGTGGCACGTGCGATACGAATAGTGCCTAAAACTTTACGTTTAGTGTTTCATGTGCGAATTTGTGTGGACACTTTTTTGTTTTTGCTCTCTGGCAATTTGTTTTGCCGCGGGATGAAAACGAAAAAGGGAGATCATGTTTTTGGGCCTTTTCTGAATAAGCTGGCTAACGAAAATAAATGGTATCGTTAGAACTAGCCATTTGAAACATTAGTTAATGGTGTGAATACTACTATAATGACCTTCGGTTCAACGATAGTTTCTTGAATATAAATGATTACCATTTATATTCAAGAATGGTGCTTTACGCAGATGGATCTGCATTAATTTTTAAAATAGTTCTACATGCAAATAATCTTGACGACGTTAACAGCTTTCTTCGAGTGCATAATTGATGATTCACTTTTA